TGCAGGGGCAGACAGCGCTGGCTCGTGGGGTGGGTGGTAGTTGCTGCACGCAGCATTTGGGATGTGCCTTTCTTTTATATGCTTGTTACTGGGTTTAGGAAAAAAGACTACGTGACCGAAAGACTGAGACAGAAGAAAGTTTACTGAAGCGTTTGACGGCAGCCCGTGTAGATTTGGAACTTAGTAAGTTCAGGGGCCTTCGAATGATGTGCCTGGGGAGAGGGGGTGCGTTGGTGACATAGGAGCTGTTTTCTGCTTGAACATCTGACTTGTGTTCTCTGAGGAGTGCTGGCAGGGCTGGGACGCTAGCTGAGTTTGGTCTAAGCGCCAAACTGCGTTGCTGCCCACCGCGGTTCCTTGTGGGCAGTTGGCAGAAGAACGCATTAGCAGTGCCTGAAATAATAATATTAAAACGCCACAGGCACTCAGGTCATGCACAAGAGATGACACGGGGAAGAAACACATTCTCCTCTAACTCCTCTGTCCTTGTCTCCTTCCCCAGGTAAAGAGCCCGGCCTGTTTGACTTGGTCATTATAAACGATGATTTAGAAAAAGCCTATTCTGAATTGAAGGAGATACTCCTGGAGGTGAGTTGGTTGGGGTTTTTCTGCCTTGCTCCCCGGGCAGGCATCACCCCTAGTCTGAGCAGGTGAGGGTCTGTCTATAGGCAGCCACAGAAATGTGACCTCATGCCCACGCTGGACCTATTTTGAACTTCTGAGTGACACAGTTGAGCACAGATCGTGTATGAGTGATGATGGATCAGCGACCTAAGAGCAGGGAAACGGATCCAGCGCAATACTGGATCAGGGGCAAAATAAATAGTATGGGAGGGACGTGCTATTTTTGAAGTCAAACCTTGCCTTGTCCCTAAAAGCTCGTGCGTAAACTCTGGGCTTGGCCCTGTGATGCTCTGGAGCTGGTCTGAGGAGATGATTGGTCCTGGTCTCCAGAGCTGTGAAACTAGGAATTATTCCCAAAGAGTGGCGGATGCTCAGTTGTTTTTCCTCATCTCCTTGCAGGAAATCAAGAAGACCCAAGAATCCAGGAAGTCCTGAGCTGAGCCTGCTCGGAGAGGCTTTTAACTTTGCACATCATTCCCGAAGCATGTCACACTGTTTTATTCCAAGAGACATTCCCTTTAGGCTGATCCTCCTCCTGAGTTACTCTAGGATGTTTCTATTAAAAGGAAAGAAAACGAAACCCAGTCACGCTTGCGTGTGTTTGTAGCCCGCTCGGTGTGGGCTCCCCCAGGTTGGTACCTCCAGCAGGCGCTTTGGAAGCGATTGCCCGGCACCCGCTGCTAAAGGGCAGAGCCGTTCTGCGCGGCTGTGGAGTTGCTGTCTGAGCAGCCGCGGCCCCCGGCACGTGGGTTAGGGTCTCGCCGCGGCGTTTGTGGAGGTGCGTCTTTTTGCCCAGGTAACGCCGTGCGCAGAAGGGAGCTGCTTAGATTGAAGTGACCCCCTGCAGACATCACGTGATGTCACAAGTGTTGACATCCTCTTGCTCCCTCTGGTTCCCGCTTCTTTTTGCAGATCTGGCTACAGCTCCTCCACACGTTTCTGGTTGTCCGTGCCTGCCGCCCGCAGCCTCTGCCGTGTTCTGGTGTGTCGCTGTGGCAGAGCAGCGCGTCGGCACGGCTCGGCTGCTCTCACCGCAGTCATTGAGGACAGATGGGCTCTTTGAATAAGCCCAGAGAAGGGAGCGGTTGCAGGGTATGATTCAGCCGCTGCCCTTTTTTCTGGGAGAAAAGTGCTGCGAGCTCCTTCTCCTTTCTGCCACCCTGGCAGCAATCTGTAATTGTTCCACTGGAGTTCAGGTGCAGGTAGATTTTTTACACCTAAAAGTTGGAGGAGAAATTACTTCTTCTCCAGGCTGTGCAGCCTTTTTAGATGACGTGTTTGAGGGTAGCAATAAATCCCTTTCCCTCGGAGGGATCCATTTGATCTAGCCGCTGTCCCTCGTACTGGTCTCTGGGTGGGATGTGGAGAGCTTTGCCTGACAGGCGCTGGCAGGATGCTTTGCAGTTCACTTTCCCAGCTTTCTTCAGCCTCAACGTCGATGTTTTCATGTAACTTCGGAGCCCTTTGGTGCCTCCAGCAGGTCATAATCCTGAGCCTCCGTGGAGGGGTTGGTTCCTCGCTGAGCCCCCACACTCAAAGCGCCCCGTCCCTCGCCAGAGGTAAGCGTGGGAGAGAGGAACAGGGTTGCTCCTGGTTCCTCATGGTGGTTTTGGGCCGCAGGGAAGGAGCGGGTGCTGTGAACAGGTCCGGCAGGCTCGCTTGTCCCGGAGCAGGCGGGACAAGGGGAACGCGGGCGGTTTGTGTTTGATCAAGAACTGGCGAGTCCCACAGAGCCACCATCCAGCCGTCTCCCCCAAAATGAACCCAGATCAAGCCGACACCGTGCAGACCACGAGCGGCTGGACCGTGCGATGCCAGGCTGTGATGTTTCCTCACCAAAACCCTGTTCTTACCAGGCCAGGCTTGTAACTTAAACTCAGCTTTTATCCATTGTATCCCATCTCTCCGGTGTACCCAGCTGCTCTGCTCCAGCACACCTGCAGTGCCCCTCGATCCAGGTCACCTCCTAATTTACCCAGCTCCATCTCCACGTTGTGGACACCAATAAGCAGAACCAGACCTTGGGCAACCCTTTCAGTACCTCGCTTGCAGTTAGAAAGATGAGAGTTGATTATTTTGATCATTTCGTTCTCTTCGGGTGTTCTAAATATATCTTGCAGAGATTATGCTGGGAAATCCTCCTTTCTGTTGTCACGAGTTTCAAGTTGTGAGGTTCTAGCTTTGGTGAAATGACCAGGAAAAAATGCTCCCCATAATTTTCTGGGGGTGTACCTCTTCACAGCATCTGGCTTTCCGCATCCCAATGGTGTGAATCGCCATGGCCAGGCTCTTCCCGCGATGGACCGTGATATTTTTTCTGGATATTTTGAAGGGACGCGTTTGCAATGGTGAAAGGTCCCCTCTAGATGGCAGAAATGACAGCGGGAAAGCGCAGGGGGGCTCGCGCTGACAGCGGTGAAACGCCGGGTGCAGGACAAGGCGGTTGGCTTCAGTCCGGTGGTCTCCATCC